TAATAATCATAGGAAGTAAATTCGGTGCCATTTAATAACCAAGTCCTCTGCTCTGTTGAATGCACAAGTTTAAAGAAATATGCCAAGTTCACCACATTCCAGCTGAAGAATAGCCTTCAGAGTAGTGTTCAATTTCTCATAGGAGGTAATCTGGAATATGCTATTGGCTATTTCATTGAATGATATATTTCCAGGCCAACGCGCAAATCATACAACATCTTGCTTGATGCATTCGCGGTATCTGGATTAGTAGAAGAGGCTCGAACAGTTTTCAAGACTATGAGAAGACACAGGTATGTACGACTTGCATTCTTTAACTTAAAAGAACTTCAGAAAGGTGCATCTGCTGGTTTCTTACCTTGTCACGCTATTTGCTTGCGCAGGGTTGAGCCTGATCTCTGCTCTTACACAACAATGCTCTTAGCTTATGTAAATGCTTCTGATATGGATGGGGCTGAGAAATTTTTCCGTCGGATCAAAGACGACGGTTTGAGGCCAAACGTTGTTGCCTATGGAACCCTGATGAAAGGCTACTCCAAGCTGGATGACGTTGAGAAAGTAATGCGGGTTTATGAGCGAATGCGGATGCAGGGTGTTGAACCCAACCAAACCATCTTTACCACCATCATGGATGCACATGGCAGGAACTCAGATTTCGGAAACGCTGTCATTTGGTTCAACGAAATGGAAACACGTGGATACCCACCAGACAAGAAAGCGAAGAACATCCTGCTTTCTCTCGCTAAAACACCTGAAGAACAGGAAGAGGCGAATGAGTTGACGGGGAATGGTGCGGTTCAGCTTGAAGTAAAACCCAATGGCATGCCCACCGGTTTAGGTACCAATGGTGCTGATGTGCATGAAGCTGGGCTAACTGATAGTACTGCACATCATCACTCCTTAAATGGCGCATCCGCAAGTGATCTAAATGGTAGAAACAGGACCGGGAGCAGTGGTTTTCAGGACGACGACGATGACGATTACGAGGAAATGGATGATGAAGAGTTAGATTTTGTTTCTTTCAAAGATAAGCGAGAACTAAATTTTGCGACTTGATATGTCTAAGCATTGGTGTATATTTTCTTGCTGCAAAACTTATGATAGCTTTTCCTATGAAAAAAAAGGACTTCGAGGTATTCTCGAAATGTGTCAATACAGTTGTGCCTGGATGGTGTTTTTGCCTGGCTCTGTCTGTTAAGTGTTAAGTGGGTCGAACCGGTGGTGGATCCCTGTTGCATAATTGACATTATTTATCAGGTTAGTCCTTACTATTTCGGTTGATTTCAGAGAAATGCTGACCACTCACTCCATAGTGATCTAAAAGGTCTTATATTTGTTTACAGATGTAAGTACTGTATAAGGATTATTTTCGTTTTCACCAAAACATGGAGTTGTATACGGTCAAAAGGTTTCGGTGGTTATTTATCACTGGTTGTCAACAGATGGAACAGGTTCGATCTTTGTATCAAGTACTTCAGTTTTTCTCACTTCAAAAAGAAAGTAGTACTAACTGATAGTAGAGTCGAGGGTTGAGGATATCCCTCAACTAGCAGCAGACGAGAACCATATTTTGATCGCCCCATTTTCGGAGAAAGAGGTGTTTGAGGCAATTTCATAGATGAAGAATAACAAAGCGCCGGGGCAGGATGGTTTTTCGGCGGAGTTTCATAAATGGTGCTGGCACATCATTAAGGGTGACTTGCTCCCGATGTTCCATGATTTGTTCTTCGGACATCTGCAACTATTTCAGTTAAATTTCGGAACGATTACGTTGCTTCCTAAGAAAACACAGGCCGTGCGGATTGGGCAGTTCAGGTCGATATGTCTTCTTAGTGTCAGTTTTAAAATTTTCACCAAGGTTGGAACCAACTGGCTTTCGCAGATTGCGCACTCTGTGGTGCAGCCATCTTAATCTGCTTTCATGTCGGATAGAAACATCCTAGAAAGGGTTGTGGTCTTACATGAAACGCTCCATGAAATCCACACGAAAAAACTAGATTGGGTGGTTTTTAAAGTGGATTTTGAGAGAGCGTACGATAAGGTAAAATGGCCATTTCTTCAGCAGGCCTTGCGAATGAAAGGATTCGATCAGTCTTGGAGAAAGCAAGGTAGATTCTTCCACGCAAAAAGGAGTGTAGGAATCAAAATGAATGATGACATAGGTCATTATTTTCAGACACACAAGGGTCTGAGGCAAGGAGACCCGATGTCACCGATTTTGTAGAGATGTTGACGATCCTAATAGGAAGAGCCAAGGAGAATGCCCAGGTAGGCGGCCTCGTCCCGCACTTAGTGGACGGAGGAGTGTCCATCCTACAGTACGCTGATGATATTACCATCTTTATGGAGCATGATTTGGCAAAAGCAAGGAACATGAAGCTTGTGTTATGCTTATTCGAACAATTGTCGGGGTTAAAGATTAACTTTCATAAAAGTGAATTGTTCTGCTTTGGAAGAGTTAAAGACGAACAAGAAGCTTACAAACAATTGTTCAGGTGCGAATTGGGATCTTTGCCCTTCACGTATTTGGGTATACCAATTCACCATCGCAATCTTTCCAACAAAGAATAGAAGTGCATTGAGGATCGATTTGAAAAGAAGCTAAGTTGCTGGAAGAGCAAGCTTATGTCATACGGAGGCCAACTAATTCTCATTAATTCGGTACTCACGAGTATGCCTATGTTTCTCTTATCATTCTTCGAAGTACTAGTTGGTGTTCGAAAAAGACTAGATTTCTATCGATCGCGCTTCTTCTGGCAGAGTGATGAGTTAAAACAAAAGTGCAGACTCGCTAAATGGGATATAATCTGTAGGCCAAAAGACCAACGGGCCTAGGCATAGAAAATTTAGAGGTAAAAAACAGATGTCGTCTCAGCAAGTGGCTGTATAAACTATCTGTAGAGACCGGTGCAACATGGGCCCAGATTCTACGTAATAAGTACCTACATTCCAAAACCTTATCCCAGGTGACGGTCAAACCGACCGATTCACCATCTTGGAAGGGACTGATGAGAGTAAAATCAGTCTTCTTTAACAGGACAAAATTTATAGTTGGAAATGGTACTACCACGAGATTCTGGGAGGATATATGGTTAGGGGGACGCCCGTTGCTCTCCAATATCCTTCTCTCTATAATATTGTTCAGCGAAGAGACGCTTACGTTGCAACAGTATTACAGTCCAACCTTCTAAATATTCAATTTAGGAGGATGTTAGTGGGAAACCACTGGGAAGCTTGGCTCCATCTGGTGAGAAGATTGATGGGCGTTAACCGTTCTCAACAGCCAGATCAGTTGCACTGGAAACTAACTAAGAATGAAGAGTTTTCGGTTAAGTCCATGTATTTGGACATTATCAATACAGACTCTATACCTCGATCGAAACATGGTTGGAAAGTCAAAGTGCCTTTAAAAATTAATGTGTTTATGTGGTTTGTCCATAAACAAGTCATTCTAACTAAGGACAATTTGGCAAAACGCAACTGGACATGATTTAGAAGATGTAGCTTCTGTGATCATGATGAATCCATTAAACACCTCTTTTTTGATTGCCCAATGGCAAAAAAATTATGGCGGTCTGTCCACATAGCATTTAATATTACTCCTTCGAATACTATTAACACGTTATTTGGGACGTGGTTAGATGGAATAGATTCAGAAATGGCGAGACATGTCCGTGTAGGAGTATGTGCTTTATTATCGACAGTTTGGAACTGCAGGAGTGATTTGGTTTTTAACAGAACAACACATTCATTTCTTGCAGCTTATTTTCCGGGCCACTACACTAATCCGTATGTGGTCGCTACTCACTCTGACGGATGCCAGAGAGCGTACGGTTATTGGATCTATCCGGTGGGAGACGGTAGCACGGGCCTATCTTCAACCGGTTTGGATGACGGTTATGTAATATGATAGGTATTTAGTTTCCTGTCTTCTTTGTGCCTGCCGGTTGTGGCTATCCTGTTCTTTTGTGTTTTTGCTCTTTGTGAGCATTTTTTCTGTCTAAGATCTGATGACTTTGTTGAACCTTTTACTTATTAATAAGATGACCGTATGCATCGTTTTGGTGCAGAGGCCAGGGGATAACCTCCTTTTCAAAAAAAAGAAAGTAATACTTCAGTTTTGTCCAAGAAACTTTTCTTTCAGTTCAGGATACAGGACAATTGTATCTTACTCCCTTCGTCCCATAATATAAGAATGTTTTTCGAGCTAACATAGTTTGAAAAACGTTTTTATATTACGAGACAGAGGGAGTATTAAAAGAGTGACGGTGGGCATATGCCTCAAAAACAATAATACTACATCTACGAAACCTATTACGTGATCCTACGTAACCTTCCCTCTAATTCTCCCCCCCCCCCTATTTTCATGGGTGTGGGGCCCCCTCCCTCCCCTTCTTCCAATTAAAATTCGTAAACCTTACGTAGCTTTGCATGGATGTAGCATTGCTCCCTCAAAAATCAACTCCCCCTCCCGTCCCCTCTCGCTTCTTTGCTTCTCGGCTTGGCGGCCGAACAATGCCGTGAGACTTTACGAAAACTATGAGATTGTTTTTGTCCTTTAGTTTACTTTGCAAAAGAATTGTTGGAGCAAAGATTATTGTGGGTAGGCATGAATGAGTTATGAATGCATTTGATTTGACTTCTGCATAGTTTTGAGATATATGTACTTTTTTTCCTTCTTCCTAAATAAGTACCTGTGTACTACTTATGTACCAAAAATATATATTATTATTATTTTGATGTGTATTTTTTGGTACGGAGGGAGTATTCAGTACTCGAGAAAAAAAGTTCACAAGGAATTACAAATCGAAGAACAATTCAAATTCAAACTCACATTCAAATCATTCCCTTATCATTTAAATCTCTGACGGCTCCTTCCCGGCAAAAACGGCACGCGACGACGGCTTCTCAGGCGCCGGCGCGCACCACGGGGGTCCACGCGACGCGAGCACCGTCATTCCGCCGCCGCTCGCCGGACGCCACCTGCTCGCGCCGTCTCCATGACTCTGCCTCTGCCTCCCCCCGGCATCATCCTTCGCGACGCGCGGACGCCGCGGGGGTTCGTCCAGCTCCTCGCCTCCTCCTCCTCCTCCCCGCTTCCGCCGAGCCCGTCCGCCGCGGCGCAGTGCCATGGGCTGGCCACCAAGCTCGGCCTCGCGGCCAGCAACGTCTTCGCGGGCACCGCCCTCCTCGCCTTCTACTGCCGCTGCGGCCGCCCGAGCGACGCCCGGCGGCTGTTCGACGAAATGCCCGAGAGGAGCGGCGTCACCTGGAGCGCGCTCGTCTACGGCCACGCGCGGTCCAGCGCGCCCGGCCTCGCCGTGGAGGCGTTCGGACGCATGGTGCGCGCCGGCTTCTCCCCCACGGCGGCGGCCGTGTCCGGCGCCCTTGTCGCGTGCGCGAGGATGGAGGACGCCTGCATCGGGGCGATGCTCCACGCCGCTGGCCTCAAGTGCGGTGGCGGCGTCTGTGGCAGCGTCGTCGTCGGGACTGCGTTGGTGGACATGTACGCCAAATGCCGTGATGTTTCGGCTGCTCAGCGGGTTCTTGAGGAGATGGAAGAGAAGAATGTGGCCACTTTTACGGCTCTTGTGGGCGGGTTTGCCTCAGCCAGAAGACCTCGCGAGGCCATGATGCTGGTCAGGGAGATGGAACAGTCAGGGGTGGCACCAAACATGATGACATACAGCAGCCTTCTCAGCTCATTCGCGGGTCCTGAAGACCTCAATCATGGGAGGCAAGCGCATTGTGCGGTGGTAAAGAAGGGTCTCGAGCACAATCCGTATGTTCTGTCCACTCTTATGACCATGTACTCCAAGTGTGGCATCTTAGATGATTTCAGGAAGGTGCAGATGAGTGTTTCGTGTCAGGATCAGGTGTCGCTCAATTCCGTGATCTCGGGGCTCTCCTGTTTGGGGAGAGGCGACGAGGCATTTCAGCAGTTCTTGGAGATGAGGCGGCATGGCGCTGACACAGATATGTTCACCTTTGGCAGCATGCTGAAGGCTATAGGGAGCTCATCCTCACTGCTAGAGGGAAGACAAGTCCATGCTCTCATCCTCAAAACTGGGTATGAGTCTGATGTGAATGTCCAGAACGGTTTGATTTCCATGTACGCCAGGCGCGGCGAGATAGGGGAAGCCAGGGATGTTTTCGCTTCGGTGGAAGCGCCTGACTTGGTCTCCTGGAATTCGCTTCTGACAGGATATGCTCAACATGGTTATGGCAAAGAGGTGGTTGAGGTGTTTGAACAGATGAGGAGACTGCATGTTCAGCCAGACAACACAACCTTCTTGTTGGTGCTTACAGCTTGCAGCCACGCCGGTTTGGTGGATACAGGGTTGGAGTACTTCAACTTGATGAAAACAAACGGGTTTCTCGCAGGGGCACGGCTAGAGCACTACGCGTGCGTGGTCGATCTTCTCGGTCGAGCGGGCCATCTCCAAGAAGCCGAGGCTTTGATCAACGACATGCCTATTGAACCTGGCGTCTCGGTGTACAGAGCTCTGCTTAGTGCCTGCCAGATCCACGGCAACCTTGAGATTGCGGTCCGGGTGTCCGTGCGCCTGATCGAGCTCTACCCGCACGACTCCTCTGCCCATGTTCAGCTGTCGAAGACCTTTGCCGGTGATGGCCACTGGGGTGATGCTGCCGAGGTGTGGGAGGCCATGGCAGGTAAAGGGATAGTGAAGAACCCTGCTTGGAGCTGTGTCGAGGACCGGGTACAGGTTGGATAAGAAGGTTGAGATCCCATAAATTCGCCGTTGTTAACTGGGAGTGACTTAATGGTCAGCTATGTTGCAGTGTTAACTAAAGGTAATGCCAGAAACCACTCATAAATCCAATGAATCTCTGAAGTCTGACTCTGATAAATTTCGGAGAGCAGAGATGGCTTATGGCATCAATGGATAAGAAAGCACAGGTCATGTGCCATCATAGTATCCTGTACTTATACATCATTAAAGCATATGAATTACAGCACATTTGATAAAATTTCCTGATATTGCAAGGATGTTCTGCTACTGAAACCAAGACCCATTGGAGTGCTGGGTAACCAAAGCCTAAGATTTTAGACTGTCAGGATCCAGATCTGATACGCGAAGAAGACAGGTCATTATGTCAGACCGTTACTTGTTTTTAGGGAGATCAGCACCTGTACCTCAGCTAACTGATTCAGGCTAGATAAGAAGGCTGAGATCACAGCATCCTGTACTTGTACATCATTTACAGCATATGAATTGCAGCAATGTTGATTAAAAAAAATCCCCTGATACTCCAAGAATTCATGCTGCTGGAAACAAGTCTATCGGAGCGCCGACTGACGAAAGACTGAGACTAAATTCATGAGGACCCCAGGTTTGACACATGAATGTGAGGAACAGGTCAGTTTATCCGCACTTTACTACTGCACTTTTTATGAAAAAAAATCAGGACCTTTACTTGTCTTTAAGGAGATCAGCACCTTTACTTGCCATTTGATCATGAAGCATGCACCATTACGGCCTATGAAATGCAGCTTATAATTCTCCAAATTCTGTGTGCACGCGCGCACGCAGGCAGGCAGCTTGGTGCCACTGCCGCCTGAAGCATGGCTGGGCCGGCCGGGCCTTTCTGCCTTGGGCCAGGCCAGAACACACGTGCGCCAGGCTCTCTCCGATACCACCGAGGCGAGGAGGAGGAGGAGGAGGAGAGAGCGACCACGGCTTCCCACCACCAGATCGACCGACGGACGAATCACCGTCATCCTCCTGCTCCTCCGCGCCCTCGCCTCCTGTCGCCACCGCAAGGCAAGGCAAGGCAATGCCGGCGGCGGCGGCCTCGTTGTTGCGGGCGGCAAACCGCGGGTAGACAGGCGCCGAATCTTGGGGATGCCCGCCCGCCCCCTCCTAACATTCTTCACCGTTTCTTCTTTATAAAAATCCTCTCTTGGTTCTTCCTCCCCGATTCTGTATATATTCGGTGCTGCTGCGCGAGGTTGCTCTCGTCCTGTCCTTGCCCTTCTCGCTGTTGCCGCTCTTGTTCTTGCTGGATTGGTCCGCGTTCCGTGCCGGCCGCCGGAGATGGAGAACGGGCACACGGGGAAGCACCGGGTCGCCGTCATCGGCAGCGGCAACTGGGGCAGCGTCGCCTCCCGCCTCCTCGCCTCCAACACCGCCAAGCTGCCCTCCTTCCACGGTAACCGCCCTCCCTCTCTGCCTCTGACCTGTGGCACAGCACAGTACGACATGCCGGCTCTGCCTGCCTATGTGCTTGCAGTGTGTTCCAGCCGATGCCATTTGGATTGCTGGTTTCTGTCTGTTTTCGGAGCATGCATGTGACCGATGCAATGCAACAGGTGACCAACCACATGTATCCTATCCTCTTGCTGAGCTGATTTGGTGCTCACCAGCAGAATAGTCCAAAAATTATATAGCAGCATTTGGTCAAATTGACTTGTTAAATGTCTCTGTGCCGTATGTATGTATCTACGACATTTCTAGTTAGCAATCTGTAGAAACAGCGTCAACCTGAAAAACTGGCATTTTCTCTTTTAGCAATATGTAGGAGAATGGACATGTAGTAGTCTCTGGGTTATCCTTGAGATCGCTGATATATAGTGTTTCTTGGAGTGAGCTTGATACTAGCTAGAGTTCCTCTTTCTTTGGTGTGGTGTGTCCTCCTGCATACACAATTGTAGAATAGAAATAAATTTGAATAAGATGCACTTCTGGTTACTGAAGATGCGTCTGTGCTCCTGTCGGTGTTGATTTTGGGGTAAATTGTTCGCAGATGAAGTGAGAATGTGGGTGTTTGAAGAAACATTGCCAACAGGCGAAAAGCTATCCGAGTCCATTAACCAAGCACATGTAAGAGTTAAATCTAATTCCGTTTGTCTTGTTTTAATTCTTGAATGGGCAACGACTTGTACAGTAACCAATGGTTTCATTCTCGCATGTTTCAGGAGAACTGCAAGTACTTACCTGGTATTAAGCTTGGAACCAATGTTATTGCTGACCCCGACTTGGAGAGTGCAGGTAATTAACCACACTGTAACCCATTTCTGATTATCATTAGGAGGAAAGACTACTTTGGATGCTAGTAATACATTCTCTTCTAGTTGATCAAGAAAACTTATGAAACAAAAATAAGGTTAGACGGTTTAATGACCTGAGCTTTGCTGTTCACAGATATGTTTCTCCCTTTTGGCTTTGTTTGCCTATGGAAACTACTTAAGAAATAATAATGCACATAACAGTATACGTTTCATAATTTATTTTGTTTTCACTATCGTTTCAACTATACATCAAGCCTTTTGCATGTTGTCAGATAATTGTCCATAATAACTAATCTGGCTTTCTCAGTCAAAGACGCCGATATGCTGGTTTTTGTGACCCCGCATCAATTTGTGGAGGGTATATGTAAGAAGCTTGTGGGCAAACTAAGACCAGGAGTTGAGGCTATATCCCTCATCAAGGGCATGGAGGTCAAGATGGAAGGACCATGCATGATATCAAAACTAATAACCGATACACTTGGAATCAATTGTTGTGTCCTCATGGGTGCTAACATTGCAAATGAGGCAAGCGTTTTTTCAATTTTCAACTTCTGAGGCAAAAATAAAATAAAATTAAGTGGTGTGTATCTCATATGCAGATCGCTGTTGAGAAGTTCAGTGAAGCAACAATTGGATACAGGGAAGATAAAGAAGCAGCAAACCGATGGGCTAAACTTTTCACCACTCCTTACTTCCTAGTTTCTGTTGTAAGCTCATCAGCCACAACCTCATAAATATATAAATTTCTCCATGCTGGCCTTCCTGGCATGGTGGTAGATAAGTGTGAAATATGAAGGTCTGTAAATTTCTACAATTGCCAAGTCGAAAAAGAACTGGGCATGAAAGTGAAAGTGGAAAGAGAAGGTTTCTTGCTAAATGCTAATTTTTTTAATGTAGTTATAAGGTATTGAGGTACGAATGAACAGGAATGGGAGCAGGAAAATGTGAAACAGTTCTTATTTAAAGCAAATTTACATTCATATTCAGTAAATTTTGTGAACTGAATTCTTTTTAATGCAGGTCGAAGATATCGAGGGAGTTGAACTCTGTGGGACACTGAAAAATGTTGTGGCCATTGCAGCAGGCTTTGTTGATGGCTTGGATATGGGAAATAACACCAAGGTATCAATTGTATCATTGAAAGCATTTTGAATAAACAAAAGAATTTTCATGCCATAGTCTTATGGTATTTTTGTCTATTTATTAGGCTGCCATAATGCGGATTGGTTTGCGGGAAATGCGTGCTTTCTCTAAACTTCTGTTCCCTTCAGTCAGAGACAACACTTTCTTTGAGAGCTGTGGTGTGGCTGACCTTATAACTACATGCCGTACGTATCTTCTTTGTTGTCAATTGACCACTGAACAAACATACTAAAAAATGTTATCGTTCCATGGCAGTTGGTGGGAGAAACAGGAGAGTGGCAGAAGCTTTTGCAAGAAATGGCGGCAAAAGGTTTCTTCTCTAAACCATGCATCTTCGTTGTTTTATGTAGAAATAGTTTTGACTCTGTCTACCTTTGTTGAAGAATACAAGCAAGATGCCCTGTGACATTTTGGCAGTTAGCATATCTTATTTCGGCCTACTGTTAGGCAGTTAGCATATCTTATTTCGGCCTACTGTTATATGATAAATTTTTATCTCATCAACTTTATGACAGGTCTTTTGATGAGCTAGAGGCAGAAATGTTGCATGGGCAAAAACTGCAGGTAAAGAAAAAATGTTTGGCATTCATAGTGTATGATGAAGGCGTTGCCTACTTGGTGTGCCTAATTTTGTTTGTTTCATATAGGGGGTGTCCACTGCAAGAGAAGTCTATGAAGTATTGACTTATCATGGGTGGCAGGAACTGTTTCCGCTTTTATCAACTGTACATGAGATCTGTATCGGACAACTGCCTCCTACATCAATAGTTGAATACAGTGAGCATACACCCAACCTCTCCTTCGTCGGTGGTTCTACTCCATGTTACTGAGCTACACACTGAAATCTGTATTGCTGCCTGAGTTCTCATTATAACGAAACAAGGCGGGGTATACCGAATGTAACCTATCGAAGTGCATGACCCTATGAGTCAATGCTTCCATGTCTAGTTGCTTGAAACTGCTGTTTGTGAATCTTACCCAGGAATCAGTGAATTCCATGGTGTTTCACAACATGATACTTAAATGAGAAAGAACACGAAAGGTTGTACCTCGTGTTAATGTTTAGTTAGAGTATATACCTGCACTTCAAATTGCTTGAAAATCAGAAATTAATGAGATGTGAGCTATGCTTTCCCCCCCTTTGCATCCAGGAATATTTGACTTGATCAGATAAGTAGGTCTAGTATTACTCAGTGTATAATGTTGTGGAAACTATTGTATTGTGTGATAACCATGTTGGATAAATTGGTTTCATTTTCCAAGTATCAGAAAAAAATGATAATTGAATGTTAAATGGTGGTACGTTGTACTCCCTCTGTAAACTAATATAAGAGCATTTAGATCACTATTTTAGTATTCTAAACGCTCTTATATTAGTTTACGGAGGGAGTATCATATATGTGAGGAGATCTCAAGTGATTTAGTTTTCAAGGTCTTGTGGTGATAGTTTGCATTGAAAGGTCATGACAGTCGGAATGAAGATCATATTTGTATATAACTGTATTATAAGTTTTGAAATGGGAGGCTTGACAGTGTAATTGTGAGTTACATCTGCTAAGCATGAACATAAGGAGATATTTGTTGGAAGATACTCCGTTCGTATTGCAGTAAAACACAAGTAGACTATGAGAAGTGCAGTACATTCAAATTCTTTACCTAGAAGTTGACATTTGACGTTGCTAATAAGTTAGCACATTTATGGGGATGGCAAAAAACCAAAACTAAATTTGTATGTTACTGGTTTTTATTGTCCTACACTATTATAATGCCTGATATGCTCAAATTGGATTAATTGCCCAGTTTACTTCTTAAATTAAAACCGGTGAAATCATAGAGGCTGGTTTGATGCCAACATTTGGCAAGCCAACATTTGCTCCCAGCTAGATGCTGAGATGTCAATTTTTTATGTTGCCTATGTATATTGTCACATGCTATGCTTGAGATGCTCAAATTAGATTCTTGGCCCAGTTTCTTTCTTAAGTAGTAAAAGAATGTGAAATCGTGTTGCTTTCAGCTAGATGTCAGGATACTGAATCTACCTTGTCCTGAACCCATTTTCAGGGCTCGCTGAAGGTCAATCTTGAAGATGCCATCAAGAACAATTTGGGCTTTGTAAAGTTTTCGAAGACCAAGCATTCCATTACCTTCCAATTCCTGGCAAAGCAAGGCCCAGGAAGTTGTAGATGCTAGATGCTAGCTCATTTTGTTTATTCATTTGTGGCATCATGTGTCACATCTTACATATGTGCTGGCTTCAGCAAGACCAAGCAAGGTGTCATCACCTGTTTGTAACAGTTTATAAACTCTATGGAATCAGTAATGTGCCTTTGTTGTGCTCGGCTGTTAAATGTTTTTTAGGAGGTAACATTTGCATCAGCAGCCATGACTGGTAATCTTTGCCTGCATGATAATTCCTCATTGGAATCCTGTCACAGTTCTGTGTGTATTGGCATGTGGGACCTGGCTAAAACTTGTGGCACTTCTGATCTAACATTGGCATCAGCATGACTAGGTAGGTATCTTTGCCTGCATGCTGATTCCTCTTTGGAATCCATGTGTATGACATGTGGGGCCTGGCTAAAAAATGTGTCCCTTGTAAGCTAATTATGCGGCTAACTAAACACCTGCCTAACTTGGCTGCCAATTATTATGACTGATGTTTTTTTTTGTGAAAAGATGTAGCTTGCTGTTGCCAGAGCAGTACAGATTTGGTGCACCTACATGCCATCCAGGGACAACATCCAGCACCAGAAACATGTACTGAATTTGTGTTGAACAATTCAGGCTTCGTAAAGTTTTCGAAGACTCAGCATTCAGGTGTTTGAACAATCCAGGTGCAACGTGTGCATCAGCATGACTGAAACCTTTGCCACAATTTCCATGTGTATGACATGTGGGGCCTAGCTAACAGAAATTGGCACTTTTCCCAATATTAACATGTCAATTTGCCTTTTATTTCTGTGCAAAATGTAGCCCTGCTGCTGCAACAGCAGTACAAATTTGGTGCACCTACAGGCCATTCAGTGTGAATCCAGCACCAGAAAGAAGCACTGGGACTGTTGAACAAGGGACACAAACAAAGTGACACATACACAACTAATCACATCAAATTAAGAATATGTATGTCTGAACATTCACCAGCGATATGGAAAATATAGCCAAGTATCTATCCGTTTTCCCGAGTCACGATTTCAACAGCGAACGTCTTAGAACCATAACGCAACGACGGGTCGAGAGCAGTTCCCAGATTCCATGACAGGACGGTGACGCTGGTACACAAAATATGCAAATCCCCACTAAAACTTATTCAGCTCTTGGACACTTTCCGAACGACTGACTGACTGGTATAAGAGGACGGTGCTAGACGGACTCCGCCTTGGTGTAGATCCGTACGGCGACGGCCAGGCCCAGTATCGCGAGGGGGACCAAGAACTGGAGGATCTTGATGACGAACTCGGGGGTCTTGTCCTGGTTGTAGTGCGGCTGCTTGGGCGGCGTGTACTTGACCTTGGTGGGTATCGTGGTCGCGTCGATCTCGCCGACGTAGTACTCGTCCATCATCGCCCGGGCGGTCGTGCTGTGCCCCACGTCCTCGAAGTCGTCGGTCGCGTCCTTGGCTGCAGTGTAAAAAGAGCAAATTTGTAAGCTGAAATCGCATTCCCTTTGCAGCCTTATTTATTTGCATACCAAATAAACTATGCAACGGGGCAGTACCTGTTGAAGACAGCAAGACGTCGTCGCCTCCAGGGTGGTCATCAAGAAACTTGGTCACATTGTACACCTACATACAGGAGCACATCATATTCTTCAGTGAGATTTGGTTTTTAGAATTTTTTAACACAAGGCCTTGCTGATATAAAAGCATGAGCATGCCAATTTGCAGCCGCAAGTCATAGAGGTTTCACTACCAAGGACCGTCACGTGTATAGAATTGCAACAAAGCTGTAAATCATGTGCAGGAAAACATGAGGAACAAGAAGTGCACATTTGAGACTACAATGCACGGCTTTTGGAATTCAGCCAGAAAATATTGATGGTCGAGTCAACATCTTGTTTGGAAAAGCAGGTTCCAAGAAGACGACAGACTACCAACCGATGTTGACGCGCACACGGACAATCAAATTGGTACAATTGCAGTGCCGAACAAGAATGAAGGCCATAATTATATGCCAGCTATTAATTAGATTAGATGCACACAGCAAAGATAATAGGACCTAAACCAAAAAAACTGGTGCAGTGAATGCGAAACGGCTAAGCGCTATAGAATCTGTCCAATGAGACTAGATTGGCTGAAAGAAAAAAATCTGTATGCATGGTCAGCAAGCAAGCAATCAAACTGGCCTTGAAAAGCAAGTCAGTTTCTGATTAAACTGAAACATGAGCGCGTTAGCCCAATAACGTCGTCGTAACAGCCGGATGGGATGAAGCGGCGTTGTAAAAGGAAAGGCTGCAGGCAGAGCGGCTAGTGAATCGTCCGATCTGCCTGCCTGCCCCTGATGGGTGATCGGATGCTAGGCGCAAGATGAAGACCAGACTAGCCGACTCTGTTTGACATGATTTGAGGCATAAGATGGTTAGTGTAGCAATCAAGCAAGCAAGCATGTTAAGTTTAAGAACGATTGCTATGCAATTGAGGTATTAACAAGGTTTATTTACAACAAGCAAACATGTTGGCATCATGAGGCTGGCGCGGCAGAGGCCGGATCTGCTCAGATGCGATCCAGAAGCACAGAGTATCTATGTAACAGAATTCGGCGGCAGCAGTAGCAGGTTGGTACAGTTGGATAAGAAGAATTGGGAGGCGCGGCGGCGACCTCAGATCTTTGTTTCCACCATGTGGTCAGGTCCGCCTCCGCCTGGCTGCAGACGACTAGTAGGAGACGGGATCAGGGGCGCGAGGAATCTGGTATCTGATCTGATCTGGGCGCAGGGTCGGCGGATCAGGTGGGAGAGCGCGGGCCGGCGGCGGAGATCCTGAGGAAAGGGGAAAACAAGAGAAGAGGCCCGCGCGGCGGCCGGATCTCGGGGAAGAGAGGGGGAGGATGCTACCTTGCCGCCGATGACGAGCCAGCAGTCGTCCTTGGAGCTGTGCTTGGCGACCTCCTCCAGGGTGAAGAGCTTGCCACCGGACGACGACATGCTCTCCTCCTCCTCCTCTCTCTGCTTCCCTCGGCTTCCAAGGAGGAGTCAAGCGAGGCGAGAGTGATGGATGGGGTTTGGGGGTTGGATCCAAGGAGGGGCAGCGGAATTGATTGATATCTGGAGG